TATTATATTTGAAGGATTGTTTCTTGGAATTAAATATCACCGGAGAAAACACTTAAAGACGTTTTTGTTGTTCAATATTTGGTGGTCGATTTGACTGATAATTATTATGCAATTTAATTGATCCACGAGTATTAATATTTGAATCTGGTAAACGTTGAGTAGCGGCATTTTTATCAACACCTAATGATTGTTGACGTTTAAGAAGACTTGGTTGAAATGTTGATGGTAAAGGAGCAGTAATCGGATGATTTTTTGGTGATCCTTCAGGAATATTTCCTTTTATTGTTCGATTTGGAGAAAGACCATTCATATAAGATTCAGGATAATGATGTCGTCCATGATTCATTTCGAGGCTATTGCTCTAAAATTAAAACTCCGAATGTTATTCAAAAATATACTTTTAACGATAATAGATGTGTTTGGAAAGAAAAAAAAGAAATATTACCGGTGGTATATAATTTGATTTTCGCTGTGCTGATTGTACATAATTAATATTTGTTGAAAATTGTCCATTTTCCATTGGTATTGTATCATCATTATCATCGATATCATTAGGTTTTTGTACACGTTTCGCTACTGGATTTATTTTATTTGTTGAACTATTTGGTATAGATGGCATTTTTCTTCCTGATGTTTCATTAAATTTTTCTTTTGTATTAGTAGTTTGAGAAGTATTTGGTTGATATCGACTTGTATTTGCTGTTGTCGATAATGATGATGATGGATATCGATGATACATCGTAGGTTGTTGATAAGAAGATTCATCATTATTTCGATCTGAATAATTATCCTTAGTTGAATTCGTTTCATTCTCATTTAAAGTTGATGTTTCATTCGATTGTTTAGAATTTTTTTCAACTCGATAGTCATTCATACATGAATCAATATAATTTTTTGTCATATTATCACTTGCTTTAGGTCGTTTTGGTTGAAAATTTGTAACAATTATTGTTACATTATTTGTACGACGATTAAGTAATGGTGATGATGCACGACGTATATGTTCATTTTCAGGAATGATTGATGTATCAGATGCATCAGGATTTGGATGATGTCCTTTCAATTTAAATGAACCTCGTTTATTAGATGAAAATGGTTCAATAAATGTTCGACGAATAATTTTTGAAAATGAATTAAGTGATGGACGAGTAGATTTTTTATTTATAACAGGTGTTGTTATAGAATTTATATCATTTCCTGTTGTAGATAAATCTAGATTTATTGTTGATGATGGATTATTATCTGTTGTTGATGTTGATTCATCATTTAAAGTATTATTATTATTATTATTATTAGTTGTCGATGTTGATGGAATTAAACTATTGAAAGGACAATTTTCTTTTGAAAGATTTAAATATTTTTCAAGAGTTTCCATTCGACTTTCACCATAATGAGTATATAGATGAATTTTATCATCAGATAATTCTTCATCAATTGGCCATGCAAAACTTGCACCAGGATCAATAAAGTAATGTATTGGCAGTAGATCGATTGCATCAATATCAATTAGAGGAATTCGATAAGTCACTACAAATAAAAGAAAATATCAATCATTTTTTTTTGATGCATAAAAGAAATCAACACTATATATACTAGAACTCGATAAAATATTTCTCATGCATACCTTTTGATGCTGGTTTACTATTTTGTTCCATAGGTACAAGTGCTGAAAAATGAGCAGCATCAAATGCTAGGAATACCTAAATGATATTATTTACATAGATAAACACATTAAAAGTGGAATTAACTTACGGGTTGCTTATGACATTTTTCAGGTGGAATTTCTATGTAAAAAGAAGAAAAAAAAGATAAGAAAAACTTAGATATTATCTAAAATCTTTTAATATACCTAATGGTAAATAAATTCCTCCAAATTCAATAGGGGAAATAGCTTCACCATCGTTTGTTCGTAATATCGTATCTGAATAAATAATAATCGGTCGACGTATATTATTTGCTAAGACATAGACATGAAATTCTTCTAAACTTTCATAATATTGTCTTGTGGATTGTGATGAAGATTTTGTTGAACCACCAGTATTTGTAACTGTTACAGTTTGTGATGATTTATAACTTTTTGATCTACAAAAACACAAAACAATGATTATTGATCAATATAAATAATATCGTACTCATCAGTTGAAGAATTTGGATCAGATGAATTCGTATTTGAACTTATTTGTGATACGCGTGGTTCAGCAGATGATAATCTTAATAAACCTTTCCATTCTTCATTCCATTCTTGTTCAGAAAAAACAAGACCATACTAAATGAAAACGTTTCAAAATTTATTTTATCAAATACAAAAAAACAAAAATTTCTAACTTTTTTATTTTGTACATATTGAGCCCAACGCCATCGTCGGTAAAGTGAATTATTTGGTTTTGATGTAATCATTGTTTCATTCAATGCTTTACGCATTGATAACGAATGATCATGAAAACCCCACATAGCTATAAGATTAAATAATAAAAAAATAGAATTAAACATTATTTTTCTATGAGCCTTTTTTTCTATGTCTGCTGTGACACTTCCAATGACAGCTACCTGTCGTGAAACTTAATCAGCTTTTTTTTTCCTAGACTTTGTTGATTCCATGACGATCATTTTTAGTAAATTGTCTCTGATTAGAATTTTTTTCTATTTACACTTAAATTGTAATTTGATAACAACCCAAGAAGATTACTTAGAAGACTATCATGATTGTTTGTTTACCTAGTGATGTAGCATGTAATAGACAATTTCCATCTCCACTTGTTAAGAGTGGATATAATTTTGGACAAGGTAATTTTTTATTAACCCACCAATTGAGACGTCCTAAACAAATATTTTTAAACGATATTTTAAAAAAAAATTGATAATTATATTTACTTGTTTCTTCCAATGTTGCCATTGTTGGTGTATCAACAAGACTATCCATAACACGAGTACGGATATCATCTGATAATTCATAGAGATTTGGTAATATAAATGATGCATCAGCATCCGTATGATCAATAGTCACAATTTCATCATTAACTGAAATTCGACGAAAATTTTTTGCTAAAACATTTCGTTGATTATTCACAAGACTTTGATTTGCAGATACAGTTGATAAAGCTCGATGTATTACAGGATAATTTGATGAATCTGGATCTTTTAAAAGAAATAAGATCAATTAAATAAAAAATATTTTCTTTTACTTGTTGTTCGTCGAAGTTTAATATCGGATGATGAATTATTTAATTGAGCATTTGTATCATCATCAAATACATCTTCATTGATATCATCATCATGACGTGGAGAATAACTATGCATTCTCTGATCGTTTTTTTTACATTATTTCAAAATATTAAGTAAATGAGATTCTGAAGATGAGAGCAAAAAAAAAATCATCGATTCAACATTGTTTTTAAATACATATATGTATTTACATCTAGAAGAAAAAATATATATAATAGAATAAATATTTTAAAAATTAATATACATAATAGAATGTTTTGTTCTGACTATGCGACGAGATATTTTTGTTATTTGTTTTTTACTCATATAAAATGTCTTATTGGTTTTTTAAAAGACGAATTATGATACATATATATGAAAAATAAAATTTTCAATTGAAATTATTTCTAAGAAGATTTAATTTAAATAGAATTTTAAAGTTACGAAAAAATTTTTTTTCAATAGATGTCGCTTTTATTGAATCAATCGATTTATATTCATTGGTTCCTGTTTTTATCATAGGATTTCGTTCAGAAGTATTCGTACTCTAGTGAACTTTTTCTTTTCTCTCATGTATATATATATATTCAAATGATTAGTTATCAGTAACTATTGGTTCGAAAAAGCCAGCTGGTTGACCTTCTCGTTTCGTTCTTTTACTCAGAACACATCTGTGCGTTATCGTTGTTTTTTAATCTTTTATAGTCCACGTTTTTCTTCCTCTATTTATTCAATAACGTAAAACTTCGAGTATTCTTCTTCCTTTTTTTTTCGTACGCTACATAAAAATATTCTAAGAACTTGCATACCTTTTTTTTTTGTTATTCCTCTAATATTTAATCACCTGAGAAAAACAAAACATAAACAAACAGAATTGCAACGATGTGCAATGCACTCGTTGATTGCATCATATACGTACACTATATTGGTATTGCCTAATTTGCATGTCACCATTCAAAAGATTTTTGCATATAAAAAGAAGATATTTCCTATTATAATTTCAGAATATGGTTCAAATAAAATACGAAATATGAATGAATAAAAATACATATGATTGACTTACCTTTCAATTGGTTTAAACTACAATTAAACCGTCTTAATACATGCGTTAATATAACTTAATCTCTACAATAAGAAAAATATGATTGATCAATTATCAAAAACAAATTATTCAAACGATCTCTTTGGAGAACAAGTAATAGAACCACATTCATTTCTTCTAATACTAAAATAATAATTTATTTTAGACTTCAAAAAAGATTGTACAGGAAACAATGATGTTTACAAATGAATTATTTCAACGTGTTATAACAGCTGTATTTTGTTCATTTAGTCCAACTACAACAAATAATGATAAACAATATGCATTAAAATTTCTTGAAGATCTAAAAGAAAATCATCCATTAATATGTCTTACAATTGGTTTTGAATTATTAAAACAACAAACAACTAATGATTCATTATTACATCATTATGGTATACATTTAATTGAATCAATTGTAAAACATAAATGGAATATATTAAAACCAGATGAAAAAATTTTAGTTAAAGAACAATTATTTCTTTTAATAAAAAGTTCATGTTTAAGTCAAACATTTATGGATCCAATTTATATAAGAAATTCATTAGCTAAATGTATAGTTGAAATGATAAAACGTGATTGTTTTGAAAAAGTTAATACAACATTAGATGAAATTGTTCTTATGACACAAAATTTTGCTCAAATAGAAGATAGTAATTCTACTCAACTTGAACTTATTTTACTTGTTTATCGTTTTTTAAATGAAGAAATAACAATTTATGCTCAATCAATACAAATTCATCGTCGTCGACAATTATTAAATCAATTACAAAAACGTTTAAATGATATTTTACCATGTTTAATACGTATATCAAATGATTTATTATCTCAAACTGACCAACGTGAACGTTTAACACAGACATGTTTATTAGCTGTCAATAGTTTTCTTGTATGGGTTGAATATAATCATTTTGAACAGTATGAAATATTTCTTTGTTGTTGTTGTTGTTGTAATTGTCGTTTAGCTAAACGT